ATTTGGGCGGTGCTGTAGTCCTTCCAGCGGTGCCAAGTAGACTGTTAGTATATCGAAGTGCTGAAGTGTTTGTACAGTAGAGCTACGATGACTATCCTAGTACAGAATCAGAGTACGAAACCTATCAAACTGTAGAGAGGTGTAAGACAGGGTGACGTTATATCCCCGAAACTCTTCACTGCAGCATTGGAAGACGTTTTCAAGTTTCTGGATTGATAGAGTCCTTATGGCAGAATCGCTCGAGCACCTAAGCACTATGCTCAATGACCTCAATAGTGTCTCCCAACGGATAGCCCTTAAGATGAACATGGACAAAACAAAAATCATGTTTAACGTCCATGTCACACCTATACCGGTAGTTGTTGGGAGTACTAAGCTCGAAGTTGTTGACGAATATGTTTACCTGGGACAAATAGTCTGATTAGGTAAGTCTAACTTCGACTGAGAGGTCAATCGATGGATTCAACTCGGTTGGCCAGCATTCGGGAGATTACGACACATCTTTTCGTTAAACATACCTCAAAACCTCAAAATTAGGTTGCTCAACCAGTGCGTGTTGCCAGTGATGACCTGTGGATCTGAGACATGTTCCTTTACTGCTGGCCATATGAGGAAGCTCAAAGTCGCTCAGCAAGCTTTGCCCGGCGTTTCTCTGCGTGATAGACTTAAAAACGAAGATATTCGCAGTAGAATCAGAGTAACCGACATAGCCCAAAGAATTAGTATGCTGAAGTGGCAATGGGCCGGCCATATATTTCGAAGAACAGACAACCGATGGGGAAGAAAAGTTCTCGAGTGGCAGCCTCGTACCGGCAGGCGAAGTGTAGGGCGCCCCCCGCTAGATGGAGTGACGACTTGGTCAGACATGCAGGAAATCGATGGATGCAAGTGGCTCGGGACCGTGCTTTGTGGCATTCCATGGGGGAGGCCTATGTTCAGCAGTGGACTTGTGACGGGCTGTAATGATGATGATGATGATGATGATGACGATGATGACAATACCCCTGACTACCAATTAAATAAAATTAGAATTATCAAACTCGGTTCACAAACGACGAAGATAACTTCTGTCACGTTTGATAGTTCTATCATACCGTATTATATATAACTAGCTTTTTACCCGCGGCTTCGCTCGCGTGCGCTTGAATTTAGGGACATCATTAAATGCTGTTCCGTGTCAAATTTAGAAATATTCGATCACTTTTAGAGTCACCTTGGTTTATGTCTCTATGTCTGTCAGAGATTTTTTTCATTCTAAAATACTATTAGACGTAGATGATTGGTAACATGCTACAGAAACTCGTGAATATACTTATAATATGTCTAGAAACTCCTACTATTTTTTATATATGGCGTGTCTTCCGATTCCGATGTATCCATAAGAAAGGTAAATAGTCTTGAAATCAAAAAGTATTATTATTACTTACATTTTACTCTTTACATATATATATTCATAGTTAAAGTAAATTTAGTTTTAACAAAGTAATATAATGTTTATTTGAGACATTTTATTCATATCATTGGTCCTATTTAATATTGATTGGCACCATAAAAAGATATAGATATTTTTATTTACTTCGAGTAAAATTGAAATTTTTTTAAATACAGTTCTATAATAATGAATACCACACATGGATTAAAACTAATGTTACGGGTTTTTTACACATCTTGACTCCTCACCGAATAAAAGCACCGAAGCTCCGGGAAGTCTAAAGTATGTAAACATGTTTAGTATCGTCCCAACCATTATATACAACAAATTCTTGCAATAAAACACCGAATCCTACCAATGATGATACGCGAGGCTATTGAAACTAAAAATATCCTAATTTTAATAGGGAAGATGGCTGAGTGCTACTATCTGCTAAGGACTCCATGATTAATAAAATTAAATTCAAACTACTACTGCATTTTAACTATTCTATTTTAACTATGACATCAGGTTATCAAACACCTCAGTTCTCCCACCCCTCCCGTGACCATGGGTGCTATAAATTGCCCAAACCATCGGGAATTTAAAAAGTTAAAATTAAACGCGATAAAATCCTTAAAATTACTTTTATTCCTTATAAATTTTATACACAGTGAACGTGAGGAACACTACACTCATGAACGGGAGTAGAGAAATGTTCGCACTGTTGTGGCGGTGAAAGAAAATCCAACACATCATATCATCCCGTCGTAAGAGGCGACATAGGAAAAAAAACAGTAGATGGGATGATCTGCATCATCTTCTTGACAACATATCAAAATAATAATAGCTGCGGTTGCCAACCCGCCACTATAGCAAATATCCAGCTACTTGACAATTTATGGGGGAGGCCTATGTTCATTTCAGTGGACTTTTGATAGGCTGACGATAATGAGTTCTACTCATCTTTGCAAGCCTTAATATTTACGGTAGAGTGAAAGCATAAATTATCATACCCGAAAACACGAATGAAATAGAAACTGCATATATATATTACCCTATGAAAAGTAAAAAAGCAGCTTACATACATGCTACTACTGGGCAAAGGCTGTAGAGTTTTTGGCCAAAAAAGAGTTCGCTGCACTGATTCCAATGCGGGATGAACGTAATGTACTTAAATGATTCAATTATTTACATCGTATATTCAGTAGCATTGTATTATTTCATTTTATCAATGTCTTGCCACTTTAATTTATTTAGAAGTAAGTAGGTGGCGCTAATATTACATGAAATAATTAAAGCCAAAACTATACCATCTAGTAATATCAGAAATAGAAAGGAACATTTATTTACTATATCAATAAGGGATAAAGTGATGTCAATTCTCTTAAAAGTTCTGTTTCTATTAAAAATACTCGTAAGCTATCAGCGCCACTAGCGGTGAAAAACGATAATGATATCGTCATATGACCATATTATGAAATAGCAACGTTGTGTTTAGTTACTAATAACTTCAAAAGATTTATATTCATTGATTTGGTCAAGCTATATAATAACACGGTCATCAAATAGTGTTAAATACACATTCATTTCAGTCATGTTTTCAGTGTTTTCACGAAATGATAGACTACTTTATGATATATGATCAATTCTACGATCTGGCCACGACTTACATAAAAATCTCTTTAATAAAACTATGATGATAATGAAAATTGTGTAACAATTGCAGACAGACCATTTTTTATCACTTTATATATATATTAGTAATTGAAATAAATACCTTATCAATTTTCATATTTTTGATAGACATCATTATTATCTATTGAAATTATTACACTTTTAAAATAAAATAACAAAAATACTAAAAAAACTGAACGTTACAATTTTTTAATAATTTTAAAAATCTAATAATTTAATCATATAAATGTAAGTTATTTATATTATTTCATTTATTAGTAACTGAAGGCAAAATATACAACTTTTTCCATTTGATGATAGATGGCGCTGTTTTGAATACGAAATCGGTGTAGTTTCAAATTATTTTACCAAGATTATAACTATATTTTAAACTTTATTTACAAATATGGTAATATGGTATTTAATTGAAAAACACCCGTCATTCCGCCTATAACTAAGATACAACAGAAAATTAACATCTAAAGGAAATTAATATACTTAACCTTCCTTTTTTGAAGTTCCGTAATCGGATAAAAAGTAGCCTATAAGTTGCCCCGGGTTACTGACTACCTACATACAAAATTTCATGTAAATCGGTTCAGTAGTTTTTGCGTGAATCCGGAATACACAGACAGACAGACAGACAGACAGACAGACAAAAATTCTAAAAACCACTAATTTGGCTTCAGAACCCTTTATTTAGTACCCTGGACTTGTTTTTTCAAGAATATATTAGAATTACAGACACGACTTTTCTACAGATTTATTATATGTATAGATTAGGAATATCAGCGGTTTTGTTTTTGCTAAGCTCAGTGCTTTGAACCGACTTAGAAACTTTGTTACGGTCAAGGTAAATATCAATCTGGTTCAATCTCTTACTTTGCCCTCCTTCCTAATGTATGTTATCCTTCTCTTAATGATGTCTCCGTAGACACGCTGGATCATCTCGTCAATAGCTGCATCTGTTTTATATTTCGTCTTCGTTCTCAGCTTGATTGGATTTCTAATCGTTACTACAGTTTTTTTTTCTATTTTATTTGATAAACACTATCCGAATTAACTGAAACATAAGATTACTACGCGACACTAATAATATGCAGCTTCGTTCATCGGATACTCTTGCTTTTTTTATACCCCTTCACCGTTCGGATTTCATATTTTAATCGTTAACTGTTGAAGCCACGCGCCTTTGGTTAAGATGAAAAGTTAAGACAACTTAACAAGCTCAGCTGTGCAAACTAAGCAAACAAATATCAAAGACAAATGTTCGGGCTCATTTTATAAAATGATTTAAAACTGCTAAGCTGATAGGTTATCACTGCCAACCATATGGCAGTGATAACAGCTGGTAGAGTATACTTTAAGTATTAAGTTCGTCTTTTATTCTCATACTGTTTTGTAAGGTTCAATAAAAATTACATTAATAAATAAATAAATAAATATCACGTTACATACATACATACAACCTCCTTTTTATGAAGTAGGCTAAAATGGTTCAAAAATCAAACTTCCAAAAAGTAAAAGCAACTTGAATTAACTAAGAAATAAAAATTATTTCTTTATAATTTAATAACTTCGAAAGTCGGTGCTTAGAGATGGTATGGATCCATCGATACGATCTCTAAGCACCGTCGATATCGATCGAGAGTTTATCGAATAATCACTTAACTATACATGTATTTAACAACGTGAAAATTATTTTATTCTCTATAGTTTTTAAAATCAGTTTTTAATTTTTTTGTAAGTATATTAAACGATGTTAAGTTTAATTTTTAAGTATATTAAACGATGAATTGTGAGCTGCTTCTTTAAGAGGTACAAAAATTGAAATTATTTAAAATAACTTACTACTAATAACTTACTTTAGTGTCAATGTTGTGTAAAAAATTTTCATTATTATTATTTTCAGAAACACATCAAGATGCTGTAATGACTGTGTTGCCCTTCTTTCATATATATGGTGCCACGGTAATGATGTTCCATAAGATGTCACAGGGCATAAAATTGGTGACATTGACGAAGTTTCAACCAGAAGATTTCTTCGAAGCGCTACAAAAATATAAAACTAATATCTTGTTTGTTGCACCACCTTTAGGTAAGTTCATAGATTAAAAAAACACCTTTACTTTAGTTGAAAAATTTACATTGTCTTCATTAGCTTTTAATAGTCTCCTGCGAAGATTTTTTATAGAATAATAGTGACAAACGAGAACACAATGTACGTGTAGCGGGTGTAAGGAAAAGGGGAGATCTCCCGCCGGGCAAGGTGTTCTGCCCGGGGAGCGGCCAGCGCTCCGATTGGTAGTTCGGAGCTATTCTATATATGCTGCTTTAATTTCGGAACTTTGATAGCGCGATTTAGGCTTCGATGTGTTTCGCTTGTGGCGCGACGACATCGCCGCCACATATGTGTCTGATGGTAAGTGGATGTTGCATAACCGTGTTGTGGCGGTGTGAGAATATCTACTACTCCATAATATAAACCCTTGGGTGTCGTACGAGGCGACAGAGGGAATCTTAACAAGGAGATAGGAAAAATCGTATTCCTGATAAGAGCTAAATAAAAAAAAAACTGCAGTTGTTAACCCGCTTGCCAAGCGCGGTAACTATTAGCAAATATTTTTTTTTACAGATAACCGCATCGTTATAGGATAGGGTGACAAATGAGCACTCAGTTAACCTGATGGTAAGTGGTTACTGTGGCGTATAGACATCTACATCTATCCTCGATTACGTATCTAAATACTAGTTACCAGTAAAAAGGGTCTCCGGTTCTCTACACTCGCGATACGAAACACAGCAGCATTAGACTGCTATTTTACGCTGGTATTCTGTGAGAGCGTGGTCCTTCCCCGGTCGAGCCTACCAATTCGTGCTACAACTATGCTTTTTCGTTCGGTAGTGGACATTCGATAGGCTGTAATAGTAAATGAATGATGTTACGTATAGACAGCTATATTTATGTAGTTGATTAAAATTCAAATACAAATGCGTTGCCACCCTTGAGAGATATAATGTATTACCTACCTCGTTAAAAAGTGTCTCCAATTCTTGTCACTCATTATAACAAACAAAAAGGCATTGTGTGTGGTCGATGACAAAGATGTGGTGGATGCATACAGAATACAATTTGTAAAAAGACGCAATCGCTACGAATTTCGTGGCCACCATTAAGTTTAAATCGAGTAATAATAAATAATAATAAAAGAATAATAATGGCGAAAAGTAAAAAAATATACCTTCTATAAGTGTGTGCTTAAGGTGAAAGCTCCAGGGTGGACCAAGAAATTCAAATTTTCTTGCGTTTTTTGGAATTTGCAGGTCAGCGTCAGGTAATAAAATATGATTCGCGATTGTAACGAGTATGTGTTTATATACTTATTATCATTAAAATCACCAATACAACCCTCTAAGTTCATATAATCCCTTGGAATGAGTTTTTCTGGAAATAGCCATGCATTGGAATTATACGATCATAGACGGATGTATTGATGATTACAATGATTATAATTCTGTAAATACATACTCGTTACGGTCGCAAATCATATTTTGTTAATCATACAACCTGACATTGACCTGTAAATTGCAAAAAACGTAAGAAAATGTGAATTTCGTGGGCTACCCTGGCGCTTCCACCTTAAGTTGTGGTGTAGGAAGTATTGCTTTATAAACACCAGTATTATAATCTGAAGATAGAGGCTGGCTAATAATTTGTAATTGTTACACGCATTACCAACGAAGATAAGGCTAGCATTAGAATGCGTGGTATGTCGACAGTAAAGGGGCAAATATTATAAAAGATAAAAAATGCCATTAATAAACATGAAAGACGCTAATATCCATCGGAAAGTGATGACTTTCATTTCACAGCTCGAAAATCGTCATTATGAGATCTGTTTTTTCATTTCAGTGCTTATGATGGCGTCACATCCCGCTGCATCACCGGATAGATTTCAGTATTTAGAAGCAGTTCTAAACGGTGCTGCACCGCTATCCGAGGCGGATGCTAATAGATTTTTAGACAAATGCAAGGTAAGTAATTAAACTTGTATAGGTTGTTCCAGTTTACTAATGCATAAACGTTCAATATGTTCATCTTGAATTATCTTTTTTACAATGATAAGATTATATCTTTACTGCCTAGATGCCTATCTTTGATAAATTTTTCTGTGTGATCTCATTAATAGTTTCAAAGGTCTTTATAGTTATATAATCCAGTCAAAAACATAGTCGAAAATATTTTGTATACCCTGTTTATTTGCAGGGATATCGTACAAATCGATATTACTTATACATCTTTTGTTTTATTACAAAATTATCTATATTGAAATATTATATTCCTGAATGCTTACATTAATGAACTGGTCATTAAAAGAAAAGGGAATGAAAGAGAACGCAAGTAAGACGAAAGTTATGGTTTTTGAAAGAAAAGAAAGTAAAACGATATATGAAATAAGAATAGAAGGGGAGTTGGTCGAGCAAGTAGATGAGTTTGTGTATTTGGCATGTGTATTTAGCAGGGATGGTAGATACGCGATACGTTAAGCGTCAGTAGCCTAATGGCAGGGCGCGGACCGCGAACTTGAAAGGTCGTGAGTTCGAATCCGCCATTCGACTACTGTCGTGCACCACTTCTAACACAAACATTTTAAGCTTACCATAAGTGGTTAAAAGGAATATTAGTAACGTTTAATAACATTACTAGTATTTAAAAAAAAAGATACGATAAGGATATAGAACGACGAGTGAACGCAGGAAAAAGAGTGAATGGGGCTCTACACTCTATTGTGGAAAGTCAGAATGTGTCCGAAAAGGCACGTATGGCAATTCACGATGCTGTGTTGGTCCCTACTTTAATGTATTGTACGAGTAGTGAAAGTTGGGTGTGGCAGAAAAAGCATGAGAGTAGAATAAATGCTTTAGAAATGCGGTCATTAAGAAGTAAGGGCTGAATCTGAATGACAGGGTGAGAAATAGTGTGATAAGAGAAGAGTGTGGTTTGCAAGATGTTGTTGTGACTAGGATTAAGAAAGGAGTGCTTCGGTGGTTTGGTCATGTAGGAAGAAGGAATGAGGAAAGAGTGACAAAGCAAATTTATGTTGCAGCGGTGAACGGCAGAGTCGGGAAGGGATGTCCTAGGCAAAAGTTTATCGACCAAATTGGCGATATATTGAAAATGGGCCAAATTAAGAGTACCTTTAACTGACGAGCGTGTATGCGCAGGTATATGGATGTGGAGGAAGCGAGAGAGTTGTGCCAGGATCGTGCGAAATGGAAGTCCATAGTCTCTATCTACTCCTCTGGGTAACAGGCGTAAGTGTTTATGTATGTATGTATGTATGTATGCATGAAGCTGTGACTTAATCACTTAAGAAGGATTCAACCAAATTATTTTGTAATAGTTTTTATTGTTGGAACTGCGACAAAAATATTAAATGCAATGATGCAAAATGCTTATCTAGTGTTTGTTTAGTAGTGTACTTTTAATAAGCTGTGATGAATAAATGAATTAATGATGCTAAAAGCCACTGCGTTTCGATAGATTGTTTAAAGTTGGCTGTAGATCTGTAACCAAGTGGCTCGAATCCTACGCAGTGCAAGTATTCAAGCTCAAGTTTAGTAGTTTTTTAATAAATAAAACCGGCCAAGTGCGAGTCAGACTCGGGAACCGAGGGTTCCCAACAAATCCGTAGGTATATAAGTTTAAAATTATTAAAATGTTTTTATTATATGATGTAACAACAAGCTTTTCGCAATTTTTCCTTTATATGTGCTATAATACGTTGCTTCGTACCAAATTTTAAGATTCTGAGTTAACGGGAAGTGCCCTGTAGATTTTGATTCCCTTGCGAGTGTCGAAGATTTGCGTCATAAACGGCTGTATCTTTTGATTGCGTTGGCTTAGAAGTTTGATTTTTTCATAGCTTCAAGAGACAGTAGACTTGACTATTTGATATGAATTTCAGCTTGATAACTCCACGCGTTCCTGAGAAAAAGGGTCTTGACAGACAGACAGACGGACAACAAAGTGATTCTATAAGGTTCCGTTTTTTACTTTTGAGGTACGGAACCCTAAAAAATACTGCAGTCCATTGACTCTCAAACAAGCTCTAAACATTAAAAGTGACAAGGGAGTTTGAGAACAAACAAACATCGTGCTTCTAGAAACATGTAGCTTATATTTTTTATAGGAGTAAGTGTGAAAAACGAGCACACAGTCCACCAGGTGGTAAGTAAATGCTGTGCCCATAGACACTTACATTTATCTTCGATTGGGAATCAAAATGGAGATGCGCACTCCACTCGCGATGACTATCCGGAAACGCCTTCTTGACGTAAAAAGGTTCGTTGGATCTCGTCACTTATCATACGAATAGAGCGTGTCTCGCCATATGAAAGGTTAAGATGTATTATATATACATCATGTCTCGTTATGTCTCGTGGTGTAAGAGGCACTTTGACTTAAAGTAATAGAGACAGCACGAGAGTTAACGGCACCTTGAAATTCAGTCGCGTTTGTGTACTCGTATTTGGGCAATCGTTGCATTATGCTGCTATTTCAAGCTAGGGTAAGAGCGTTGTTCTTTCCTATTCAGGCCGAGGATATTATAGCTGTCTTGTAATTTAAGCCAGTATATCAACAGTAGCTGCAAGAGTTTATCAAGACATAGCCGAGACAAAATGCCTATTTGCCCAATATTTTTACGTTTCAATATTATTAGATTTTTCTTTGTGGCGCAGTGACGCGGCATTGAGTTGCTTTTTTTGAGGTGCAGATGGCCGAAAACATGTTTTATGGCCTACAAATATTTATTCAGTGTCTGGATGTTTTTTCTTGTGCAATTTATGTTAGTGAAATATCTCCACGATACAGGAGAAAATCTTAGTGTAGATGTTATGTTTTTTTAAACCTAGGTGTATGTTTAAAATTATAAATGCGAGAAATTATGTTATATAATATCATAGATTCGAAAACTCCGAAAGTAATTTATTTATTTTCTATATTTCTACGGACCATAGTGGTTACAATAGAGAAAGATATACCTAATTATGAAACGCTATACTACAATTGCTGAAAAATGCTATCTGTTTTTTCAGCGCAAGCTAGACTTTCGGCAAGGTTATGGTTTGACGGAAACCTCTCCAGTCGTATCGCTAACTCCTCGTGGCTTGGAAAATTACGGAAGTGTTGGTTACCCCATTCCCAACACAGAGTTAAAAATTGTCGACAGTGGAATGAAGAGCTTAGGCCCTAATGAAGTAAGCAATGATTGGATCTATTCTTATTTTATCTTCCTAATATAAATTAATGTTTGTTTGTTTGTTAGTATTTTATGCGCTCAGAGAAAATAATTTATTTTGTCTGAGTTTATGCGCTGCCATACCGTTTATCAAACTGCGGTAAAACTTTGAATTTATTGCTTGCAGTCGAGCGAAGATTATAGGCATACTATAATTAACTTACGATACCGACAAATTTTTTTGAAAGTTAAATATCATGCAATTTCAATGAATGCGTTATTATTCCTAATTGAATAAGACAATACAAAACTATTTTTTACGGATTTTATCGCTTTTAATTTACTATTTTAATTCCCGACGTTTCTGGTGCTTTACAGCAACCCATGGTCACGGAGAGCACTCAAATATTTGACGTCCCGATGTCACAGTTAGCCCGACTACCTTCAGATTTTCAACCAAAAACTAATATTAAAAACTGAAGGTAGTCGGGCTAAAAAATAATTTTATTCAATGTGTAGTGTTCGCGTAAATATAAGAAATCATTAAGACAATATAACTCTTCCAAATAAAAAAAATATTTCCACAATTATTTTTTTCTGTGGTAGCAACGCCAGCTAGTAATATATATATAATATTTTATACGAATCCCGTCTCAAGATGGTCGTTCACGCTAATCTCCGACACCGCTCAACTGATAAAGTTTTGTAAATATGTATTGCTTGCTTCAAATTGAGAGATAGAACAGTTTATATTCTAATAAGAGACCCTCAATATCTTTTATTGCAAATCTAATGATTTTATAGTACAAATCGAAAATCGAAATGAGCAGAAGAAGGTCTGCTGGCCAGCTTGTTCATTTATACTTAGTTCGAAATAAAAAGAAGTTTGTGGGCTATGAAAATGTTAACAACAATATGCTTAAATACAATATTTTTAACATTAAAGAATACAATAAAGATCAATAATTTCAAATTTCATTCTATTATAAGAAACCGATGTTACCACAGTCTTTATTTAATGTTTTGTAATTAAATAGTTATTTAGTAAGCCTGAGGGAGCTTATCCAGTTGCGAACTTCTCCAAAACTTTCTATTAAACTCAATAACACAACAGTAACTTAAATTATAATTTTGGATATTTTTTATAATATAATCCTCATAAATGTATTTGAATGATTTTCCAAGTGTCAAGTGCTCAATTAAAAATAAAACTTCATGACTGATTTTTAAATGTAGGCTTATTGTGGCTTGATATGATTCTTACAGAAAGGTGAACTCTTAGTAAGGGGTCCACAAGTAATGCGAGGATACAGAAACAACGTTCAAGCGAACACTGAATCGTTTACAGTGGACGGATGGTTTAGAACAGGTGATATAGCCGTCAGTGATGACAGCGGTATGATCACCATATCTGACAGACTGAAGGAGCTAATCAAGGTTGTATATTAAACGATTATTTAGTTAGGGTGAAATCATAAATATTCCGAGTTTTTCTCGAAATGTTATTCTGATTTTAAAAATAATATACATAACATAACATAAACACGTCTGTCACCCATAGGGGTAGGCAGAGACTTTGTACTCGCCTTCATTTGACTCCACATCACATTGTTTCCTCTACATCCACATTACCCACGCTTATGTATGCTCGTCGGTGAATGGTCCTTTTAATTTTGCCCATATTCACATTATCGTCCATTTGGTCGCTAAATTTTCGTTTACGGCCTACCTTAAGTTACTCAATTTTTTATAGAAGTAAGGATGGAAAAATGAACACACAGACGGTGTGATACAGTTTACCTGATGGTAAATGGATTTTAATGTCCCATAGACTATCGACTATTTTTCGACTACTTTATCGACTCTCGATTAAGATTTAACGCATCTGAGTTGTAAGCCAATTAAATGTTCAACTAAATTAGGTTGCCTCGTTACCAATAAAAGTTCTCATTACTCCCCATACGAAGCACTACAGTAATACGTTGCTATTTAACTCTGGTGTTGTGTACGATCGTGGTCCATCGCCGGTCGGGCCGATCCATAAGTGCTGCAGCCATAATACTCTGCGTCATGGCTCCAGAGCTTGCATCTTCTCGATTGACAGAGTAAGTTTAGTTGATTAACTGAAGATAGAAAATCCATTCAAAGTCTTTGAACAAAATTCCAATGATTAGTGTGGGGGTAATATGCTCTGCTATTGCACTGCTAGTGCTCATTCAACATCAAGCATAAGCGAGTTGGAGAGGCTGGCAGAAGAGAAGATACAGTAGGTAATCCGCATCAAACAGGGCCAAATACTACGCAGTGGTTTGAAAATTTTCTGAACCGTCTTGCTGCTAAAAGATCGGTCTTTATAATCACCAGAAGTAGTGTTGCCAGTCACTTGTGTCTGTCACTGGTCAGTCACGAAATCTTGTCCAGTTTAAGCCTCAAAAGACACAGGTTTGAGCGTTACCTCTAAAAATAACCCCTTTGTCGTAACTCTACAATTTCAAGGCACAACCCTTGCCACCTCAACTGGCATAGGAATTATAGGCGTCAACGTCAACGTGATTACTCGGAAGGGAAGGCTAAATTGCCCTCTCAGGATCTTGACACGCTCGACTTCACATAGAATACTGTTTTCATCTCTGAGCCGGGGCACTTCAGTGCCAGGTCTTTTCACTTGACCTAATCCATCGCAGAGCGGTTTGAATTGTCGACGAATGAGTTCTTTCTGATTGGCTCGGATCACTGCACTGTGCAGGGTTCACCACTGTGCTTTTACAAGGAGTTTTCTTCCTCTATGGAATCGTTTACTACCGGTGATTTTTCCGGACCGATACGAATAAGGGTTATTCAAGCAAAGAGCGTACTCCTTTCTTAAAGGCCGGCAAAGTACCTGCGATTTCCCTGGTGTTGCAGTTTTTCAGGGAAGGCGGTGGTCACTTGCAATCAAGTAAGCCGCATGTTTATTCGCCCCTTCTTCTACCAAAAACTCACTGCTTAAACGTCTATTGCTCATCTGCATTAGACGCGGAGGCCTTTGAATAGAAATGATATATTTCTATTGCGGAGGTATTGTTATAGAGCAGCATATTATATATATATATATATATATATATATATATATATATATATATATATATATATATATATATATATATATATAATTGGAAAATTTTCAGTTAGAACATTCTCGGAAAGACTTTTGTCTAACAATACACTCAAAATACTTAAATAGCCTTAGTAGTTAAATTACTAAGAATTTATTCACGTAACAAAATAAATAAATATTTTATTACTACTCACCGCTTTATACTAAGAATTGAATTTTCAGTAGCAAACCAGATAACAAGCCAAGATTATAATTTTAATATTATAAAAGCTTGATTATTTAGATAGAAAGTCCGATTTAAACCCTTTACAAGTAATAAAATTACACATTGAGTTTTAATTTAATTTAAGCAGCTGCTGAGAAAATGAATATTTACTAGAGTCTAATAATTTACTTGTCAGTTTAGCAAGAAAACAAGAATTCTTGGTACGTGAAACCTTTAAATTACGTGCCGCATAATATTTACACGCTACAAAGGCCAAACGTTTTATGAATAAAGATGAATGTAAAATAAATTTGTACTGCTACTAATAATTTATATTAGTTAAATATTAAATAAATGTTATAATAAATGTTGTCACATAAAATCTTCCCGAAAATTTAACAAATTTCCAAGCTCTTACAACATAAACGGAACGATCTTAAACAGAGTCGATCAGGTTAGAGATTTGGGTATTGCTCTCGATTCTGAAGTGAGATTCACAAACCATATTAATAACACGGTTAACAAATGTTTCAGAATGTTAGCTATCTATCTAGCTAGAAATCTGTTCAGGCAAAGAAAGTTTTGTACTTCGCCTTAGTACGTAGCCATGTGGATTATTGTAGTTCTGTTTGGTACCCATTTTATCAGAATAATATTCAGCGTATCGAAAAGATTCAAAAAAAGTTTGTGAACAGAATCTCTTTTATCAATGGTAGTTACCGCAGCGTTAATAGTTATTCTGATAGGTTAAACTAATTTAATATGCTTTCATTAAGGCAACGTAAGGAACAGTTATCTATGATGTTTTTATATAAATTATTAAATCATGAAGTGTATGTCCGTCTCTGCTATCACAAATTAATATATTAGTTCCTAGAGTTACGGCTCATCTGCATAATAATAAACCATTCTCAATGTCCTTAAGAAGAAGGAAATATGGTAATCCCTCTCCTATTTGTACACTGGTAAAAAATTATAACTTTTTATTTTAAAGTTGTAATTTAGATATCTTTTGTGAAAAACCTGCTACTTTAAAAAAATCGATTTTTGATTGTTGCAAGAGCCATTTTTAGTTTTTAGTGTTTTTATTTTTGGTTTCTAATTCTTTCATATTTTTGTCTGTACTAAAAAAAGTTTAAAAAATTTAATATGTATTCATTGATATATTAAAAGGGGTTAATATATCAATATAAAAGATGTTAATAAAAGACGTTGTTTTACATAATACATACATTGGTATGTATTATGTAAAACAACGTCTTTTATCATTAAAAAATGCTGTGCATACCTTTAATTTAAATGCATATGTATAATGTATTTTTTTCAAAAATTGTGATATTATAAGTTCCTTTTATGTATTTAATGGGTAAGCCTTATTAAAAAATAAATAAAATAAATAAATTAATAATTTGTGGTTATTGATGCCAGTTTTTTTTTTATAAGCCAGTACTTGACCACAATCCCACCTGGTGGTAAGTACTGATGTAGCCTTAGATGGTAAATCGCACTGTCTTATCGGAACAAAAGCCTATTCACTCTTGCCTTGAAGACGCCCAGATTGTATTCGGACGGAAAGATAGACGCCAGCAAATTATTCCACTCCTTTGCTGTACGCATTATAAAAGACGAAGCAAACCGTTTGGTTCTAATGCGTGGAATATCGACAACAAAGGGATGAAGACCCGCCGACCGTCTGGTTGCCCGATGGTGGAAAGGAGCGGGAGGGATTAAAGGGTGTAATTCCTGCCCACACTCACCGAAATGATTCCTATAGAATACCGAGAGACTAGCTACTCTGCGCCTGTGCTCGACGCTGACAAGATTGGTAATGAACCTCTTAGCACGTCTCTCCACTGAGTCCAATGCTGCCAGGTAGCATTTTGCAGCACCAGCTCATATGTGACAGCAGTACTCCATGCACGACCGGACTTCCGCTTTATATAAGGTAAGAAGCTGCCCCGGCGTGAAGTACCGCCGCACCCTTGCAAGGACACCAAGTTTCCTTGCGGCTGCTTTGGCTCTGGACTCAATGGACCGCCCATAGTTTAGGTTCGGAGAAAATTCAATCCCTAACAACTGAAGGCGGTCAGTGTATTCCAAGGATACATTCCGGAAAGTAGGAGCCAAGGTGAGCGGACTCCTTTTAGCGGTAAAAAGACACGCTTGTGTTTTGGAGGCGTTAAATCTCACGAGATTGGCATCGCCCCATTCGGAGACTGCCTGTAGTGTGAGCCTGCCTCACACGCTCGACCATAGTCTCTTTTTCTGACTGGATTTGATCCCGACTGGCCCGGACGCTTGGTTGGTATCTCTCCACAACTGTGCTATCGTCTGCATACCCATAGACACCGGGAATAAGCAGATCATTTATATACAGCAGGAAGAGAGTTGCGGAGAGAACGGACCACTGAGGAAAACCGGCGTTAGTCGCCACAGTATCGGATGAGCAGCCATCAACGACGACCCGGAGAGACCGTTCACTCAGAAAGTCCTTCACCCAGACAATTAGGCCAGGGGATAAGCCGTACGCTGAAAGCTTGCCCAATAGACTAGCGTACCAAACCCTGTCAAAAGCCTTCGAAACATCGAGTGAAACAGCAAGTGCTTCACCACTGGTCTCGAGGGCTGCGCCCCATATGTGAGTGGCATATGCTAGAAGGTTCCCAGTTGATCGATTTCGGCGAAACCCGTACTGGCGATTACTGAGGACATCATTTTGCTCTAGGTATGCCATGAGGTGGGCGTTCAATATACGCTCCATAATCTTGCAGAGTATGGAGGTAATTGAAATTGGCCTATAGTTGGCAGGGTCGGTACTGCTACCTTTTTTAGGCACAGGCTGCACATTGGCCAGCTTCCAAGATTTAAGCACTATTCTAGTCCTGAATGAGAGGCGGAACAAGCGTGTCGTCAACACAGGAGACAACTCAGGTGCACAGACCTTTAGAACTATAGCTGGTATACCATCAGGTCCACTAGCTTTGTTCACGTCTAGACTTCGCAAGGTTTTGAGAACCTCCTTGTTGGTGATACGGACCTCAGACAAAGAGGTGACCGCAGTGAGGTAATTGAGATGGTACGCTGTTGCTACTGTCCAAACGCGAAATGCAAGCAAAAAGAGAAGCAAATAAGTCCGCTTTCTCCTTAGGCGCATGCGCCAGTGAGCCATCTGGTTTTACCAGCGGAGACAGTGTAGACCGACAGAAGTTTGTCTCGACCGCTTTAGCGAGAGACCAAAAAGCTCTACTGCCAGATGGTTTGGCAGAGAGCTTTGTGCCGATGCGTTTAATACGGTCGAAACTGGCTTGGCGTAATGCCTTTTTGCACGACTTGGCGGCTTGGTTAAAGGCTCTCTTCTTAAGGCTAACATCAGGAGTTTTACGGTCTCAAGCATCGACCCAGGATAAGTATGCCATATGCTTGTGCTTTTCAGCACGAGCGCACTCGGCGTTAAACCAAGGGCGAGCTTTACCACCACGCCACGTCAGCAAAGGGGATGAGATACTCCATCGCTTGACGTATTACATTGGTTATGGCATCCGCGCAGCTCGATGGGTCTCCAGAGGAAAAGCAGACCTGCCGCCAAGGATAAGATGCAAAAAAATGCCGCATCTCATCCCAATCTGCTGACTTGTATCGCCACATTCGTCGCACTCCGTGGAAATCGTAGTTAGGTGGGGAATATAACGGCACAGATTTCACCAGACAGTGGTCAGAAGTTCCCAAGGGTGAGGTAACCTGAACATCGTACCTGTCTGGATCGGTCGTCAGCAGAAGGTCGAGGCAGTTGGCTGTGTGCCCATCCACATCAGGTACCCTAGTCGCTTGTTGTACCAGCTGGGAGAGCCCCAGCGACAAGGCTTTAACAGTGGTAGAGCCACGCGGCAGCTTTTGCTGTCACGCGGATGGGCCGGCTCAAACCGGGGTGGTAACACGACCTCACAGAATACCAGCGTGAAGTAGAGGTTTACCTCTGCGTTTTGCTTGGTGAGTGCAGGTGGCCGGAGGCCCTTTTTACTGGAAATGAGGCACTTCATCTTAGTCCTAACGGGTGAGAACGCATCTGCATTTTGATTCGCAAACGAAGATAATTGTAGATGTCTATGGGCCGCAGCAACCACTTACCATCAGGTGGACTGTGTGCTCGTTTGTCACCCTTATCCTATAAAAAAAGGCAAAGTTCTACGCCTCTCTCCCAGCGTGGTCGGTCTTCTGGTATGGGAACAGCCAGTCCTGATGACAGGCAATAAAGTCCCCCAGAAAAACCGACTGTGCATTAGGGTACCGATTTAGAGACTTCACTGAGGTGTTAAAACAGCCTAGTTGTCTTCTGGTTGCCGCTGCGCGATCGGTAGACACAAGAGTAATTTTATCCATTCCTGTGTCTATCAATAACCAGATCGTAGAGAAAGTGGGGTCTTCAAGGTGACGGAGACGCTTACAGCAGATGTCGTTGCGGACGTAAGCACAGACTCCGGCGCGCTGATGGAAATTATGCTCCAATATGCATCCAGGGTAGCTAAGGTACGCCGCATCTAGAGGACATCTGATCTGCATCTCAGTCAAGAAAAGTAAGTGCGGCTTGTCAGTCTCAAGGTGGTAATGGACTGCATTGAGATTACAGTGCAGGCCTCGGATGTTTGTGAGGTGCACTTTAATGGAGAGAGTGCAACCGCTGTTCAAACTTACTCTTCTTTTTCTTTTTTTTCATTAATGGTGTGAGTGAATAGGTTGAGAGAATGGCAGTTGGACGAGGTGTCATATAACCTAGGGACGCAAACAGAGTCATAGCATCGATGGTACCTAGCATGGAGATCGCGGGGACGCCCGAACCCCCCTGGAAATCGCCACCAAGCCCTCTCCTCTGGTCGCCAACCGGCATGGTGGAGCCATCCCAGGATTTTTCTTAAGATGGCCTGACAGCCTTTCATGAGTAGCTGGCTCATTAATTGGGCCCCCAACTAGCTACGGTCGGCCAGCGGTGCAACCGGTCCGTATGCATAACGCAACTGTCCAGACCCATTCTCCCTAAGAAATGGGTTTCACCTAACATCATACCGGAACACGATTTGCATCATTTGGCGGTATGTCTTTGCCAGGTGGGTGGTAACTAACCCTCGTCCGAGCCTCTCACTAGTAGACGACCAACCTACCACCAGTATGTATTACTGCTCGTTTAGCACTACCCAGGGGATACGTGTAGGGAATCAGGATTCAAGTAATCCTACGGACGCGAGCAGCTTCATCCCCCACATTAAATTCGATTCATTAATTATACATATAAACATTCATTCATTCATTAATTACAGCCCTTCTCCAATCCACTGCTGAACATAGGCGTCCCCTAAGGAATGCGTCGAGGCACGATCCTGAGCCATCTACATCCATCAACTTCATGCATGATTTTCCAGGTAGTCCCACGCGAGAACTTTTTCCCCGTCGGTTATCGGTTCTTCGAGTTATATGGCCGGCCCATTGTCACTTCAGCTTACTAATCCATAGGGCTATGTCGGTCACTCTGGTTCTGCTGTGAATATCTTCCTTTCTAAGTTTGTCACGCAGAGAAACACCGAGCATAGCCCTCTCCATAGCTTGCTGAGCGACCTTGAGCATCCTCATACGGCTAGCAGTGAAGGGCCACGTCTCAGATCCACAAGTCATCACTGGAAACACGCACTGGTTATACAACCTACCAAAATCCTCTGCTGAAAATATGCCTCCTCCAAAGAACGCCTTATTGACTCAATAATAAATATTGAGGGGGTATTTGCCATAGTTGCTGCTCTTGGCTAGCGACGCCAGTTTTTTATTACTTTAAGTTGTTATCAAGAAGATGTTGCTACCCATCTACTCTTCCAGTTTCCTTTCGTGGTCACTTGGAAGGGAAGGCCAAATTGGCCTCTAAAAATCTTGGCATGCTCAGCAGAGCGAGACAGTATATCATGCCGGCACATCGCCTACAACTTAAGAAAGCGCAAGCTCAGCCTCACATGGAATACCGCTCTCATCTCTGGGCCAGGGCACCCCAGTGCCAGCTTCTTTCTCTTGACCGTACCCAGCACATATCGGTTTGAATCGCTGACGACCGAGTTCTTTCTTATCGGCTCGATTCACAGGCACTGCGTAGGGTTGCATCCCTTAGCATTTTCTATAGCATCTACCCCGGGGATTGTTCTGAGGAATTTTGTTCAGATTAATTCTCCAACTGTCGATACCATGCTCATCATCTGAACGCTTGGCGGTCCACCACTGTGGGTTTTACTGGGAGTTTTCTTCCTCGTATAACTTTTCTATGGCATTGTTTAAAACTGGCGATTTTTCCGGACCGATACGAACAAGAAAAAGCTTACTCCTTTTTAAAAGGCCGGCAACGTATCTGTAATTCTTCTGCTGTTGCGGTTATTTATTGGCGACTGTAGTCACCTACCATCAGGTGAGCTGCATGCTCGTTTGCCCTCTCTTCTATTAAAAAAGTATGTATGAATCGTAACAAACCTCTACGAAAATATCAATCAATAAAATATTATTATATATAATACTACGTTTTACGTGGTAGAGCCATGCTGCAGCTATATTAGTAGTATAGTGTAGTAAAGATAGATATATAATTTATACTTTTGAATATTTTGTGTGTAATGAATTTTCGTTATTGATCTCTCTTGAATTACACTTAGGGTCAGCTCACACCATTAAAAAGAGCGTGACGTGGCGCGCACCTTTTAATATAGTGATACAAAATATAACTTATACATATAACTATTCACTACACAAAAACATACATATTTTATTGAGATAATTCGAAAATGCCTCGCGGTGTTGAGCTACGTCGCACTGCGCAACGAGAAGCCTCACGGCGTAGCGCGACGCATAGCAACGCAACGCTGCTTCGTCGGTGGGCGCAGCATACAAAAGCTGTGCGCTGCCAGCGCACGTCATGATGCGCGGTGCGATGTCGCGATGTGTATAGCGGCGTGGCGGCGCGCTGCGTGGTGCGAAACCATTGGTCTCTTCAAGCATCGTCGCGTCGCGCCGCGTCTCGGTGTGAACTGACCCTTAAGCTACAGTAATTAAATACATACGAGTAAAACATATTATGAGTTTTGAGTATAAGATTAATAGGAAACATTTAGACCCAAACACTAATCCAAACCATCTTTTGTATTTTTCAAATTAAAATTAAATTGATATTTTTCTATTTTATTTACAAATTCCTGAACTCTTATGTGATAGGTAATTTATAAATTATATTAAACATACAACCAATAATGAATTTACTATGAATTATGCACTTGACCAATTGAGATCATAATCACACAATAAATTTATTTTGTCGATGCGATGATTTATAAACCTCAACCTTAAATTTGTTAATTATGGATCATATTCACAGTACATAAACATAAATATTTACTAAAAAATATTTAGTAAGGATTATTATACTACTAAGCAGTAGATTATTGACAAAAGCCCGTGATAATGAGGTGAATTGTATAAATATTATAATGTGAGTTATGCTTTAAAAAAGATGGGTTTATTGCTGGTTCTTCAGAGGGTTTCTTGCTGATTCTTACATGTAATCCATATTGAATAAAAATGATTCATGACCACAAACCACACCACAAAGTCTGGACCTAGATAGTTGGTGATTCACTCGTCGTCTCATCACATCACCTACCGGAAACAGCAAAACAACGTCTGCCGTGCCAGCCAGTATATAACAACCTTTAAAATATAATTGCAGGTTAAAGGTTACCAAGTGCCTCCGGCGGAGCTTGAAGCTATTCTACGAGAACATCCCGCTATTACCGATGCAGCTGTGGTTGGCGTTCCTCATCCCACAAAAGGAGAATCTCCTAAAGCATTTGTAGTTTTGAGAAGTGGAAGTAAAGCGAATGTTAAGGAAATTAGCGATTTTGTTAGCGGGAAAGTGGCGCCTTATAAAAGAATAGATGATATAGTTTTTATTGATAGTATACCTAAAAGTTCAGCTGGTAAAATTTTAAGACGCGTATTGAAAGAAAACTTTTGTAAATAATTTTTTTTTACTAAATGACGGACAATTTTATAGTACCTTTAAAAACATTTTAAATTTTATGTATATTTTTGTACAAATGAAAATACATTTTATACTATATACCTTTTTCTATTTTATTTTGCACGTTTTTCTTTCCTTTTGTGATACAGTAAATTTTGGTCTCAATAAATTTAGAAATAATTCTTGATCACTTGAACCACGCTGCAGTTGTATGGCGGCAGCAAGAATGTACTGGCTTGATCGGAGATCACGCTCTCACAAAGCGGAAAATAGCGTCATTATGTTGCTATATTTCGTATGGTGCAAAACCTCTGACCCTTTTTACTAGTAACGAGGCATATTAGTCCACAGGGATGACGAAACATTTGCATTTTGATTCTTAATCGATGACAGATTTTTTCGTGGTAGAGCCATGCTGCAGCTATATTAGTAGTATAGTTGTAGCTCGAATGGGTCGGCTCGACCGGGGAAGAACCACGTTCTCACAGAATACCGGCGTAAAATAGCAGCTTAACGCTGCTGTGTTTCGTATGGTGAGTGTAGAGAACCGGAGTCCCTTTTTACTGGAAACGAGGCATTCCATCGTAGTCCTCACGGGTGACAACACATCTGTATTTTGATTTGTAATAGAGGATAGATGTAGATGTCTATGAGCCGCAGCAACCACTTACCATCAGGTGGTATGTATGCACGTTTATCACCCTTATCCTATAAAAAAATAGATGCCTATGGGCTTCCATTTACCATCAGGTGCACTGTCTACTCGTTTTCAACTACACTTCTTTAAAAATATGGAACCAGATATGTGGTAGGTTAAAGGGTCTGACCTTTTATTAGCGCAGTAAAAGTAGTCAGCTAAAATATATCATGTAAGTGAAGTAACTTACAGAAACTTGCAGAACTTATCCCCAGAATCGTCAATCCAGTTTCAATATTAGATGAAAGAAATGTATGAAATCTTAAGTGGAAACAAAAAAAAAAAACGAAATACTAGACATGGCAAAGATTTAATGGGAGTAGATAACTAAAACTCATTCTATTAAGATAAAATAAGTTTGTGTATAAATAGTTAAAAAAATAGATTGAGTAAATAAATTATATTTTCAAAAGTTATCGTGTTTACCACTCCATGCGGACTTGATAAATCTACACCATAAGCCACTCAAACCACTCTTTTATGTAAAAATAGCAATTAATCGTTATAAAAAAAAATATTAATAAGTTCAACAATCATTTATTTTTCTGACAATGTGCTTTTTATATCATTACTATGTTCAATATGATTGTTAGATACGATTTTATTTTATTTTTTATTGTTAGATTTACGCGCTTTGGGCTTAAGGCGTGCAAAAGTCGTTATAGGTTAAAATCCTCAACTAATATATCATCGTAATACTACCTGCCTTCTCAATGTCAGCAGTAAGGTCTATTTAATATTGTTAAAAGTTAATTCGATGAAGCGATAGTGTTTAACTACTACTCTAACGACATTGCCATAAAACATTTAGAGATAGAAAGGTAATAAAGATAGATAGAATTTAATCCAGTGACCAATTTTTCATTACAAAACAATAAAAACTCTTTTTGGTAGAAATTACGTTTTTTTATAAAACTGTCAAATAATTTGTCACAAACAAACTTACAGTTCACCTGATGGTGTGGCTACTGTATTTCATGGACACTAGGAATGGGCAAAGGGAAATAATATATCGATATATATCGAATCTATATTTTTAAACAGTCGATATATATCTTATTCTTATTCTTTTTTTCCTTTAAAAATAAACGTTACCCCCACACTAGGATTTTCTCCTGTATCGTGGAGGCAGTTTACAAACATAGATTTCACAAGGACAAACATCCAGTCCCGGTACAATTATTTGTAGGCCATACAAATTCTTGTTCCATGCGTGATAAATATCGATATATCGTCATCATTTGAATTATGTAAAGATAAGGTCCAAAATTTCATTAAAAAACGATACAATATTTTAAAATATATCGAAATTGATACGAATTCGATACTCAAAAATAAATATCGATATGTCGATATATCGCAGTTGACGATATATATTGATATTTTTATTAAAAATATCGTATATATCTATCTATCGTATGAAACGATATATCGTCATCATTTGAATTATGTAAAGATAAGGTACAAAATTTCATTAAAAACCGATACAACATTTTGAAATATATCGAAATTGATACGAATTCGATTCTCAAAAATAAATACCGATATGTCGATATATCGCGGTCGACGATATATATAGATATTTTTATTAAAAATATCGATATTTCGACATATCGATATTTTTTGCCAAAGCCTAATGGACTCCTTCAGCCAATTTCAAACAAAGAAGGTTACAGATGCGTTGTCACATCTGAGGAATAAGATGGGTTACCACAGCCTGTACGTATACTGGCTCTCTATTAAACTCTCTAAAGCGATCTTTAAAATAAACAGTACCCTGCAAGTAAGAAATAAATTTAAAATTGCAATAAGCAAACCAGCCGTACCTAAGCGACGTCATTTTAAATTACTTATTCTTTTAATAAGGGCAGAGTTCAACGAAGTTGTACACAATGGGTATCGTTTAATACTGTTTTAAATTGTTGATAAAAAATGTCAAACATTTTGTTTGTTTTCCAAAGTCTAAAACTTGAAGAACCAACTGATCAAGATTAAATTGAAACTTGAGAAGCAAATTGACCAAGTATAAATTAAAACAACGATGTGATTTAAATTATCAAAGACATAATCTTTATTATTATCTGAAACAACTGACAATAGACCTATCATCATCGATATTACTACTCATCACAAGTCCACTGGTGAGCATCGGCCTTCAAGGAACGCCACAAATCTGAAAATTAAATTTTTGTACATGGTAGAGCCACGCTGCATGGTTGCAACGGGTTAGCTCGATCGGGAAAGTACCACGCTCTCACGATCACAAAATACCAACGTTTCGTATGGTGAGTTTAGAGAACCGGAGACCCTTTTTACTGGAAACGAGGCTTTTCAACTTAGTCCTTAGGGGTGACAACTCATCTGCATATCGATTCTTACTGGGCCACAGCATCTACTTACCATCAGGTAGACTGAGTGTTCGTTTGTCATACTTATTCTATTTAAAAAAACCGGTTACCGTGGTTACTCAGGTTCTACTGTTTTTCGGTTACTTTTACTACAGATATCCTTATTTCGAAAGCTGTCACGCATGGAAATTCCGAGTATAGACGTTTTAGTTAAAATCGATAAAAAACATCAGCTAAAAGAAGATATTATGTTAGAGCATATATGTTAGCTTTTGTGTTCCCAATGATGTGTGCTCCAAAGGATGGCTACCAATCTTTTAAGATTGAATGCTACTAAAGTAACGTATGTGTATACATACATACATACATACATATAATCACGTACGTAGGGGTAGGCAGAGACCACTTCTTTCCACCTGCTACGATCCTTGCATACTTGTTTCGCTTCGTCCACTTTCATTATTCCCTTCGGTTTAGCGTACTCTTGACCTGGCCTTTTTCAAGACGTCCCTGATTTGGTCTAGAAACGCCGCCTAGGTCTACCTCTTCCAACACTTTCGTTCACAGTCGCCTTATACACTTTTTTCGTCAATCGTTCTTTATTCATTCTCTCGACATGGCCAAACCATCTAAGCATACCTTTCTCAATTTTTGTCTTCTTTGACGTATGTGTATTCACTGCTAAAAAGAGTCCGCTCATTTTGGCTCCTACTTTCCAGAAACAGGTGCTAAATTTGTAAATTATGCAAGTCGAGACATTCGTGGAATACTGCTGCCACATGTACATACATACGATTTCTTGATTCCGAGCCGCTACTGAGAATTTCTTGACAGAGAAATCAAATAATTGATTTCAGTCCGACTCAGGATTTTACACCGAATTACGTGAACAGCAGTTGTGCTAATAACTTCCATCACCAATGGGTTAGTAGTCAAAAACAATACCAAAATAATGCTCCTGCGATTCATTATCACTGTTTTACTGGCAACAAAGCGTTTAATAGTGGGTACAGGGTTATATACAGGGTTAAATTGCAATGCACGCCCAAATTATCAGAAAAGGTTCGGAATAAGTAACATAGGCGAATCTTCTTTCAATCTTTTTTATCTTTTAATTCCAGAATGGGTGGTAATGTATTATTTTAACTGTTTGTCATTTATAAATCTAACGCCTAGTAATTTACTACGAACACACATATTTGTAAGGGTCGTTCGGTCGTCAAAAAGACGTTGTGAATTGTATCGCAACAACAGTTTCGGCAACATGTCGCAACAAAAGTTGTTGTCCATAAACCACATTCAGTTTGGGATTATCTTTATATGTATATAAAATGATACAGGTCTGCAGTTGTGCGCGCATCAGATTTCAATTAGGTTTAATAAGTTTTATTTCTTAGACACTTTAAAATTAATAGAATTAAAAAAATAATAGACACTAAAAAATATTGCAATATCTTCATTTAATATTTAATTTATTAAAGTTTTAAGAAATAACAATTTTATACGGGGTTTTCACACGGTCAACTGTATGTCGCTTGCTCTCGCTTTACTAACCCAGATAATTTATATATTTTAGCTACAAACGGAGCAATGGATAACATTGTTTACAAAGAAATTTTGTAAACAGGGTATATTTTTACTTGCGATCTTTTTGATGTATTTTCTTCGCACATGCGAAAACTTTGTTGATATATCAAGCAACGCTGATGAAGTCGCGTGTATCCACCAGTTTCAAATAAAAGTAGAAGTCTTGTTTACTCTTATTCTCCAAACTGCAATAACCCTTTATCCATAGAATTATTACGTATAGAATATTAGTACGCGCACCAAAAGTAAAGCAAGTAAAACTAACTCGAGTTGACTCAGCGACGCGTCAGTGCGCAACGTCACGTTTTACCGAAAAGAGCTCGCGAAAAGTTGTAAAAAATGACCGTTTGTGTTCTAAAATATTGTCA